CCACAATAACAAACGGTACTGGTATAGGGTTTGTCGATGAAATGGGCTTAGGTTCGGGTATTTGCAAATCATTGTTCATTAGCTTTTGATAAAACGTTGAATTTGTAAATATAGTTGAATCGCAATCCTTTCCATAGGAACCAACGTCTATGTATATGAACTTATAGTCAGAGTCACAAATGGCAAGCAAAATTACAGAAAAGAAGTGTTTGTAATTATAACACAATGATCCACTGTTGTATGGTTTCATAATTCTTACATACTTACCATCTACGGCACCTATGCAATTTGGAAAATTGGCCCGTAAATGAAAATCTTTTGCGATTTTTAACCAATTTTCTTTTGTCGGTTGCGGTAAACACATGTCTTTTAGTACAACCCATATAAAATGACAAACTTCTCTTATTATTTCAGCTATAGTTGAAATCCCAAGTCTGTATGAGTAATGTAAATCTACAAATTTACAACCGCTTCCAAGATATCTGGAATTAAAAAATAATTTAAATATATACATTATTTACAGGTCATTCACTTCAAAAGAAATGGAAAAATATAAGAAGCTGCTTTTTGCGAGAAGTACGAAGATTAAAAAATACTAAAAGCGGATCTGCTGCTTCCCATAAAACTCCCTATATTTATTATAATCAGCTGTTATTTTTGAAGAATACCGTTGGTAATTTGAACACAGAGATTAACATTGCTGAACAAGAACATTTGACAAATGATCAAGAACCTTTAGGACCTTACTCGAGAGAAAATATAGTCGGAAGAAAAAAGAAAAAAAACGTCAGATGATGGCACAAGCGAACTGTTAACCACATTAAACAAGTGTATTGAAACTCGCAAAAATAAGGAGGATATTTTGGAACAAGATGAGGACAGAATGTTCCTGATGTCCCTATTATCATCATTTAGGGCAATTCCGGAGCACAAAAAGTCAGCTGCGAAAATTCAATTAATCAGTGTAATCGAATCATTCCGATCCTCTACTCAAAATAATATATATCCAAACACAATGTGGCGAAATTTTAATGAGTACGAGTATGAGCGTGGTTACTTCACACCGGAGGCCGGGCGTTCAACAGCACCAAGTCAACAATCACGCCCTGAAGCACAACATTATTATACGCTACCAACTTCAACTCCTTCGGAACGTGAACGCCCAGAGTCGCGATTTTCTACTGTCACTTCAAATACCTCGCAAGATTCTGACATTTTGGATCTATTTTGAATATTTCCTTTTGTTGTGCGTTCGTTTATAATATTGATTTCATTAAGTACTTTAAAAAAATACATGTTTTATAATTATTTACCGTATATTTTTAAATTATGTCATCGAAGAGTAGACTTACAGATAGTGCCATCCACGAAGACGCGCCCCACTCTTTGTTCAAATGCATGTGTGCTATCTTCCGCATGTGTTAAACATCTGTCGATACACGCTAATTATCGATGAATGCAAACGCACACTAATAGAAATTGTGTAATCAGGATAGAGTATTATGAACAGCACGAAAGATGCTCTATTTAAATTTAATCGCGCATCTTCGTGGATGGCATTATCTGTAACTCAGTGTGTTTAACACTCCCGGACACATCTATCGGCCCACCTTGAGTTTTAAGTTTTGACTGGAGACCAGCTAAAAATAAATGTTAGGAGGAGCAATAAGTTTTTGCAGGTATGAAGCTGATTTACTGGCCATCGTTTTCGTAAAAAACTGCATAAAAACTTATTGCACCACTTAACATTTATTTTTAGCTAGGGATTGTCAACACTTTAAACACTAGGTTTGGCCGATAGATGTGTCCGGGAATGTAATGTAAATTGTGTTAAAATCCCGTAAAAAATAAATGTTAGGAATGAATTTTATTTCAATTGTCACTTACCTTAGTGTTATAAAAAGTTTTTCTTCCGGAGAAATACATGGTCGCATATTTGTATCTATGCCAGTTATATGTGGTTTTAGAAGACACAATAAGACATCAAACGAACTCACAGACATTCTTGCATAATTAAAAAATTTACGAGGATATTTTCTAACGTCTTCATAAAATATTTTAAACATTCCCTTTGACCTCCGTTCTTCTAACAAAGGATGCACCCAATACTCTTTTGATTTTTTTTTTATTTGTCTTTCTTTTTATAATTAGTAGCGCCGCTACTATTGCAAGTTCTTCAACGTCCATTCTGCACGAATGTACTTGGAATACTGTCGCTCGGCTCGGTCTCCGGGCCCTGTTTCCCATGTTTCGGTCGCCGAGGGACTGAGTCGCCGGCGACTAGTCGACAGTGCGTAATAGCCCTTATGGGAAATTATAACAACGACGACCTTTTACCGTATCTCCGTGGAATTTCCAACAATCTGACATTATAAATTGATATATTATTATTTAACTTCATTTATTTTTATTTTATAATAATTATTAATAATTGTAACCTTTGTAATTATTAATGTTTGACGAATATAGTTTGTAGAATTTTGTTTGTAAATATACATTATAATATAATTTTATACCTACATTTATTTTTGTTTTTATTTCGTGTGTAGACGATGCAATAGTTTTGTTGAAAACAAAAAAATACATAAAATGAACCAAAAAAGTCACGTAAAGTATTAACATTCGTTTTACACCACTTACAATTTTTTCAATAATTTCTTGCTAAAACTCACAATAGAAAAGTTTTCCATATATCGCCAACTGAAGTAGATACACGGTATAAGTATAGTTATAAATTCTATAGATATGTATGGTATTTATTTTGACTTGGGCTGTTTTGTCGGGGCTGTTTTGTCGGGGGCTGTTTTGTCGGGGCTGTTTTGTCGGGGCACCGAATAAAAAGTGAAAGTAAAGAAATAAAAAAAAATATTAGAAACTTTGTTTTTCTCTAAGGCATATCTAAAAATAATATTATGGCAAGTGTTCGGCAGATGTTTTTTATATATCTATGTTTAATCAGCTATCTAACGTAGTATAACAATCTAGGGTTTGTATTACATTTCGTGGGAAAAAAGTAGTTGGGACGCTCCAGGTAGCAGTTCTAACGGTCTCGCGCCTATTGTCCTTCAATTTAAGACGCACCAAGCGAGCGAGACAAGTGACGATTTATGTAGGTGCGAATGAAAGAAAAAATATGTAGAGACCGGTTAGAGCTTGGAATACAACAGTATTGTTTGGTTGTCAGTCTGCTTTTGTGCTTCGTACATAGTAGATGCGATATCATTTTGCTCTTTTCTCGACTTGGCTGTGATTCTGGACTATTTTTTCTGATTTGTGACTACTGTCCTTGTTAACCGGACTCTGATTTGTACCTGTGCTACGGAAGTGTTGGAAATAACGTCCTACACACCTGAGGAATATTCTGACATGCTTATTTGTTACGGATACTGCGATTGTGTGTCTGCGCAAGCTCGCAACGAATACATAACTCGCTACCCCGGTCGTCGAGTGTCGGATGTGGCCGTTTTTGACAGAGTTTATCGAAGACTTCGAGAAACTGGCTCTGTTTTGAGACGAAATACAGACATGGGAAGACCGACGAATTGACGACGAAGAACAGGACAATGAGATAGTGCAACGCTTTCGAGCGGATCCGACTACTTCCACTAATATTGTTGCCAGTGATCTGGGACTTTCGCAATGGAAAGTGTGGTTTACAGTGCATACTGCTGGCCTATACCCGTACAATTACACGCCGGTACACGTTATTGAAGAAGGAGACCCCGCGAGAAGATTGGACTTTTGCAGATTTATGCTAAATGCTGACGTAGAAGACCCAGATTTTCTAAGAAATATCTTGTGGACGGATGAGTCCAAATTTGATAATGGCAATGGCATAACTAACTATCATAACGCCCATTACTGGGCCCCAAAAGAACTAAGGAACAACGAAGATTCAGCGTGAATGTGTGGATGGGCATTATCTCAAATCATTTGATTGGACCTTACTTTCTCCCGGATAATCTAAATGGGGAAAGCTACGAAAATTTCCTGAGAGCAGACTTGAGTGATTTGCTGGATGATCTGCCACTCAACCTGATCAGGGACATGTGGTTCCAACACGATGGCTGCCCTGCCCATTTCAGAAGAAGTGTCAGGGACTGGCTGGACACAAATTATCCAAACAAATGGATAGGACGAGGTGGGCCGTTGCCATGGCCAGCAAGCAGTCCGGACCTAACCCCCATGGATTTGCATGTCCATCCAGCCGAATCCAGTTTCGTCTGTGGAAGACTTAAGAGAAAGGACTGTGGATGCAGCAAATAAAATGAGGACCACGTTGACCACTGGAGTAGTGAAGGCTGGTCTCCGTAGAAGGATGCGACAATGTATCAGAAATAGAGGTGGCCATTTTGAACATGAACTGTAGAATAAGAAAAAGTGTGAAAACCTTTAATAAATGACATTTCATGCTAAACTACTGTTTTGTTTTACTTTTTTGGGCTAAGTATAAATTTTCTTCTCCACTGTCGCCTATGAAACTAAAGTTTTTTCAACGCATTTGAATAAAACCCTAGATTATTAAACCTCGTTAGATAGCTGATGAAACGTAGATATTTAAAAAAAAACATCTGCCGAACAATTGCCATAATATTTTTTTTAGATATCCCTTAGGCTGGCCATAGACGGACCGCATGTTGCAGTCGAAACCGACTGCAACATGCGGTCGCCGCACGGCGATCTGCAGTTCCAATACTAAATTCATATCCGCAATACACGGACCGCTCGAGCAGTTCCTGAGCGGTCGGAGCAGTCGCTCTGCGGGCGAGTTTCGCCGTGCGGTCGACTGCTTAGAGCTGCCGGACCCACAATACACGGACCGCTACAAGCGGTTGCTGCCGACCGCGCGCCACTCCCTCCCCGCTCGCAGCTGAGTACCCATCCCTTCCTCTCGGCAGGCAACCGGTTCAGTCCGCTTCCGCCTCACTCCCCCTACAAACCTCACGCACTCGACTCGCTTCCTTTGTTTATGTTGGTCGATTGTTCGTTTGTCATCCAAAATGGCGAAAGTTCTCGAAAATATAGACGACGAATTGTTTATTAATGAAATTAAAGAAAACGAATATATCTGGAACTACAGCAGTGAATTGAACAGTGACAAAATAAAGAAAGATGGTGCATGGAGAGCCTTATGCGAGAAATTTGATCCTGATTTCAACGAAAAAAGTGTAAAGGAAAAAAATGATATTGGTAAGTAGGTACACATAATTTTTTATTAAATTTTAGCTGTTTAGCTCAAATATTATTTCTAGTAAATCAATCTTAAAGCTGTTATCCGCGGTTTCTTTCCATAATATGCTTGTTATAGTTATATGCTATACTAATTTCCATTGCCAATCTAATTGTCCTTCTTCACTTACGAAGTAGTCAGCGAATTTATCCCGGATAGAGTTCAGCGCTGGTCCTCCTTGCGGGACGTTTTGTTGCAATGCTTGGTCTTCAAAACCCGTTATTGTCAAACAATCTTCGAAGTTGTAGCCGTCTCTTTCACGCACAAAGTTGTGAAGAATGCAGCATGCTTTGACTATCGTTTTAGATAATTCAACAGACACGTTTAATGGCCGATGGATTATGCGCCATTTGTTAGAAAGTATGCCGAAAGTGCATTCGATGTATCTTCGGGCCCGAGACAGTCTATAGTTAAAAATTCTTTTTTTTATTGGCAATAGTTTTCCTCCAAAAGGTCTCATATTTTCTTGTAAACCGAAAGCTTCGTCGGCGACAAATACGTTAGGCAAAACTGGACCTGTTGTTATTTTTGTAGGAGCAGGAATGTTCAGCGTGTTTCTTTGTAGTTTTTTGTAGAATTCAGTGTCTTCAAATACTGTCGAGTCAGCGTGTCTTCCATATGATCCAACATTTATGAAAGTGAATTTATAGTCACTGTCACAGACGGCCATCAACACTAAAGAAAAATAGTGTTTATAATTATAGTACAAGGAACCGCTATCAGTTGGTTTTATAATTCTTACATGTTTACCATCGATCGCCCCCAAGCAGTTTGGAAAGTTGGCGCGTCTTTGGAAACCACTTTTTATATTTTTCCAGTTATCTTGGGTTAGTGCTTCAAAACAAATATCTTTCATATACTTCCAAATATTTTCGCACACGTCTTTCACTATTTCCCCTATTGTACATGCCGAAATTCTATAGTTGTACTCTAATTCAGCGAAAGTGCACCCTGTTGCTAAGTATCTGTAAAAAATTTTTTTTATTTCCAGCAAAAGCTCTTCAAAAGAAGTGGAAAGTGTTAAGAGATGGCTTTAGACGTTATGTCAATAAAATAAAAAAAATTAAGAGTGGCTCGGGAGCTATTAAACTACGACAGTATGTTTACTATCATCAGTTGTCATTCTTGTTGCCATTGACGGAGGAGAAAGCTGGTACTGCAGATAGTTTGGAAAATGAATCGACTGAAGATGCAGTTACTGAAGAGAAAATACCACAGCGTGGTCGTAAGAGGACTAGTACGTCCAAAGAAGACAATTTAATTACACAACTGGCGATAAATTTGAATAAAAAATACAACGAAACTACATTTGATGATAAAACCGATGATGACAAATTATTTCTTATGGCTCTACACGGTGACTTTTAAAAAAATTTCTGACGACTACAAATTAGATGCTAAGACAGACATACTGAAAGTTATAAAAAAATACAAAGTGTTATCCTCTGACGTCAATTTATATTCTAATCAGACCTCATTACGCTCGCAGTTTAACTATCACCAGCCCTCATACTCGCAGTTCAGCCATCAGTCATCGTCATCCTACTCGCAGCCAAGCTATGATGAATTCAGTAGTGGCTACAGTACTGGACCTCCTCAAGCATCTACCAATCGACCACTACAAACTGATATCACCATTGGCTACAGCACTGGAGTTCCTCAAGCATGTACCAGCCGACCACTACAAACTACGAGACTTGAAGAAACAGATGTTTTGTCTCCTGCTGATAGGGCGCTTTTAGTGTCACGCGGATTTGCTCACGCACGCGGGATTGGACCGCATGCGTAGCATCCGCAAAGAACAATTTCATATAGGTATCTATTGTAAAGCGTGATAAACGCACGCGGGACGCGGGGCGCTGTGCGGGGCGTCACCCCGGTGCGGGGTATCCGCATGCGTAAGCGCTGCCTACAACTTCAGTGCCCATTTTAGAGTCGAGCGGGGCGCACGCGCCGTATTGTACTACCGAAATGAAAATCGATACAGAACGAGTAATCATTGAAGTTCATCTGCGGCCCGTTTTGTGGGATAAACGCAATGAATTATACAAACACAGGGACGCGAGGGAGGCTGCATGGAGAGATATTTTGAAGGAATTGGCACCTAACTACGAAAATTTGAGCGAAGAGGAAAGAAAAGAGGCGGGTATGTGTTTGGTTCATTATTTTATTTATACAAGCATCATTACTTTATTAATATAAGCATAATTATTTAATTCACAAATAACATCAAAAACCTTCTAAAACCTTTTGAGTTTAGTTAATTAATTATATATAGGTGTTGCCAGGAGACTTTTCCTTCATTGATAAAGTAATCTGCAAATATATCTCTGATATTACTTGCCGACGTATTACTACTTTCAGTCTGCTGCCTGGGTAGTGGTCCCGTAAAACCATTTGTGACAAATGTATGGCTGACCTTGTAGCCATCCCGTTTCCTTATGAAATTGTGAAGTACACATGCCGTCTTGACTATTAATTGTGCTAGATCTAACTTGACATTCATGGATCTGTGAAATATTCTAAATTTATTTGACATAATTCCAAAAGTGCATTCTATGTACCTTCTAGCTCTGGACAGACGGTAATTAAATATTTTCTTTTTTGTAAGGTAAATTATCACGAGCATAAGGCCGCATCACATGTGATGATAAACCAAATGCCTCGTCTCCCACTATCACGAACGGCAACTTTGCTCTTACACTAGATGGATAAGCTACTTCGGGGCAAATAATAGGCAACTCTTGCGGGTCAGGGATACCCAACGTGTTACTTTCCAGTTTCGTATACAATTGACTCCTTCTAAAGATGGTTGAATCGGCGTTGCTTCCACTGGTACCGACATTAATATATGTAAAATTATAATCAGCATCACACATTGCGAGGAGCACTACAGAATAATATTTCTTATAATTAAAATATAGTGATCCACTGTGCGGCGGCCGAATCACTCTTATATGTTTTCCATCAATTGCACCCAAGCAATTAGGAAAATTTGTATATGTGAGAAATCCCTCTGCGATTTCTTTCCATTTGATCCCATTAAGCTGTGGAATACATTCAGACTTTAGTTCAATCCATATTACGTAACAAACTTGTCTTACTATTTCGCTAATTGTTGCAATTCCAATCACATAGGAATAGTGTAGATCAGTGAATGTATTACCAGTTGCCAAATATCTGAAAACAAAAACAATATATTAATAATATGATAACATAATATATTAATAATGCTGACATCAGACATAAGACAGCATGCACCGCTCGAATTTTACTTCAGAAGAAAAATAAATACCCTTAAGGTGAAAGGGCACGGAAGTAGCTAGCGCTAGAAGTTTTTAATTCGTTTTAACTACAGTACTATAGCTACGTTAGATTTCTATGATTTGCCGAAAATTTTATCATAGGGGGGTATTTATGCAGTTATGATTTCATATGAAAAGTTCGAAGTATAGTTATGTATCTCATATCTGCTAAAAGTGGCCACTTTTAGCAGATTTGAGACACATAACTATGCTGTAAATATTTTATAAGAAATCTTCTCTGTATAAATTAACCCCTATGGTAAAATTTCCGGCAAATGAAAGGAATCTAATAAATATATATAATATAATATAATGAAATATCGTTTATTTCAGGCAATATTTACATTACAAGATGTCCTCCTTCATGAAGGTTGACAGATGCAAATAAAGCAAATTTTTGTTAAAACAAATTAAAAACTTACAGCGCTAGTGACTTCCGGAAGTTTTCACCTTAATTTTGATGATGGCAAATTTTACTGTAACAAATAAACAAATTGCCCGATTCAATCCGGTGTTTTTCCAAAAATCCTTAAATGAAGTTCTAATTATTTTTGTAAAAAATGAATTATTTCGTCGATGTCTGCGCCGCGCCGCCCCGGCCGCGCCGTCTGCGTCTAGTATAAGATTCACTTTGCGCTATCGTTCGCGGCGAAATTGACCGGCCTGCGCCGGCCCGCCGTTTGCGTTGCGCCTAAGGGTACTTTTCCTTCAACTGCGGCCTTATTTTTTCCACTCTGTATAGGTATATATATATTGCTTGATTTATCTAATGCTTCATGAGACAGTGTAAAGTTGACAACATGTGTGAATTAAGGAGGGCCTTTAATCGAATGCAGTTAAATTTCCAACTAATATCAGATTTGTACACACGGCCACAGATCAAGCTTCCCAAAACCAGTATAAACAGGACTCATGCGTTGTTTATTATCGTAGACGACTCGGCGCCCGGCGAGGCCCTAGCAAGTTCCGTTTATTGGTACTGGTTTTGGGTAACTTGATCTGAAACTGTGTGTACTTTTGCCACTTACTTATTATATTTTGTCATTTCAGACAAGAAAATACAACAACGCTGGCGAACAGCAAGGGACACTTACCAGAAAGACAAGATATCTGAAAAAAATCAGCCATCCGGCTCTGGGAGTAAGAAGAAGAAGAAGAAATATTCTTACTATGACATTTTGACTTTCTTAGACAGTACAACGGAAACTGCTGGAGAAGAGTCACTCTGTGAAGAAATGTCTGAACAAAGTAATTTAGAAACACCTAATGAGTCCACGCAACCAGATACTTCACGTCAAGAAAGTTCTCGCCCAACATCAAAACAAAAACAAGTAAAATCTAAAAAGCAAGCACCATCTGAATTTGAGGCACAGTTATTAGAATGCTTAAAGTCTAATCAACTGGAGCTAGAAAGTGAGGATTTGGCTTTCTTTCAGTCTCTGCAGCCTTCATTAAAAAGATTCACTAGATATCAAAAACTAATGTTCAGAACAAAAGTGTTAAATATAGTTATGGAAATGGAAAGTCAAACACAACCTGCATACTACAGTCCCATACCTACAACAAGTTCTAGTGCTTTTACTGAGCTTGACAGTTTGTCACCGATAAATCAAGATTACCAAACCAATAGTATAATCCAGGATACTTCGAGTCTTAACGACAATGCTATTAGTTCTGCTGCAGTGAATGACAATGAAACTCTTATTTCGACTGAAAGCGGCCTGTTTAATATCACGTCTTATGACGTAATTTATACCCCAGCAACAACATCATCTACAGGCGAAAGTAATGTCAACGCTCAGGATACAAATTTACAAAGAAATGAATGATGTAAAATTTGATTTTTTAATTTATGAATAAAACTCTTTTTATTAAAATGAGTACGATTAACTTTTTTTCTCCAGTTTCTCTCTAATTGTTTGTTTAGTCATATGAGTGCGGTTGTACACACGGCACAGATCAAGTTACTCAAATCCAGTATAAGCGGGACTCCGACGGGTTACCTAAGTATGATAATACGCAAGGCGCGAGTTCCATTTATGCTGGTTTTGGGTAACTTGATCTGTGGCCATGTGTACTTTATCAGATAAAAAAAAGGATTGTGTATGTAGGTTGAACGTACCAATCCCAAACCAATTAAGGACTTTTTTTTGACTTTAAATTACTGTCATGTGCAAACCTATAACTTTTATCTATATTATAATAAGTAGCGTGTGATGAAAGGTAGGAATGATTCCACTTTAATGGCGACATTTTATGAGTGAAATAATCTTATTTAATGAAATTTCAACATGAAATTGAATGAAATTATGAACAATGAAATTTCAGAGTACATGACAAAATTTTTTTTTTTGCACATGTAAATTTACACATGACAGTAATTTGAAGTCAAAAAACGTTTATCCTACCTGTTCAAATCCCTTTCCACTAAATCATAGCAGGAAATTAAATATTTAAAATTTAAAACTTACCTTAATGTAATAGCGAGCCTCTCAATCGGTTGTATTGTAATCCTTCGTAAACTGCTTTTTTTGTAGCTTATTCTCAATTTTACACAACAGTTCATCAAAAGAACGAATGGACATTCGAAAGTAATTTTTAAATTTACGTTCATTATTTTGTAGTTTTCCAAAGCGTGTAACAAACGCCCCAGCAAGAAGCCTATTTTCAAGAAAGGGATCAACATGTACTCTTGTCTTCTTGTTTCGTCGTTTGTAAAGTATGTAAGCGACACATATTCTTCTGACATTGATCATTTTTGAACACGTCTATACCGTTACGCAGCCCGTATAAAACTGAAACTCATGCTGCGTATGATCCGCAGCGTGAAATTTTACGCATGCGGTCCAATCCCGCGTGCGTGAGCAAATCCGCGTGACACTAAAAGCGCCCATACTGAAGCATCGCAGTCGTCGATACATAGCATTTTCTGATAATTTGAAATAATACACTGTAATGTTGCGTATAATAAAATTTGTGTAAGAAACATTGTTTCTTACCTTAATGTTACTGCGATCCTTTCTTCAGGTGTAATGCTTTTTCTCATTTTGGAATTTGTCCGTT